GTTCCTCTCCAGCCTCCTCACTGTCTGATTCTGCTGCCAGCTCTGCAGGCCACCGACAGACGACAACAACATTCACACAAAGAGACACACATGTACAAACACACACCCTTATTCTTGGCAAAGAGAGCTGCATCCAGCCAAGGCAGGAAGATACCAAGCCGCTCAGTAGGAATAAGAGAGAGGAGGAAACATTGAGCCAATTTAATTGAATCCCACACCACTTGAACAATATTTCATTGTCATTGGCTATTGACAGACTGCTCAAAAGATCTTCCTTCTTCTAACAGTTGCAATGCATCTGGCAGGGTATCTTTCTTCCATGCTATCTTGCCAGCCAAGAGTCTAATCAGCAATTCAAAGGTCCCTGAGAATGCAGCACATTCCAGCATCTTTCCTAGAGAAAAGCACTTCCCCGCCCCCCCCCCATGGACAAATTCACTCAGAACTCAAAGGCCCACAGGCATAATTGCCAACAGGAAGGCACGTTCCATTGCCATGTGTGATTATTACTTCTTGGTTTACATATTCTTTGCAGTAAAGAGAGACTGGTTGGAATAGACACAGGTACACAGAAAAGCCTAAGTGCTTTTGCCACAGACTTAAAATAATTTTTTGCAGGATCAAAATGTTTGCAGTAGACACTCTGCTAGAGAGAAGCTCCCTGAGGATGGGCTCCAGCCCAATTCCAAAAGATTGGAAGACTAAATCGCTGGTCCCCGTGACCGACCCAGATTGGATCCTGCAACTTTATCCTGGGACACGTATATTTGCCTTTAATAATATATATTTGCCTTTGTGGGATAAATAACTTTATCCCACAAATTGCTAGATGCCCTGCAATAATTCCATTCTGTCAGTCCTTGGAGGTAGTCTAAACAAGAACAAACTATGAGTACTAACACTATGTTTACTGTAGTCAGTGGTGGGTTTCAAAATTTTTTACTACCGGTTTTGTGGGTGTGGCTTGGTGGGCGTTGCAGGGGAAGGATACTGTAAAGTCTCCATTCCCACCCCACTCCAGGGGAAGGTTACTGCAAAATCCCCATTTCCTCCTGATCAGCTGGGACTCGGGAGGCAGAGAATAGATCGGGGTGGGGCCAGTCAGAATTTTTACTACCAGTTCTCCGAACTACTCAAAATTTCCACTACCGGTTCTCCAGAACTGGTCAGAACCTGCTGAAGCCCACCTCTGATTGTTGTGTTAAAGGCAGAGGCAGGGAGATCCAGATAGTTATTGTTAAAGAAATCTTCAAGAGAACAAAAACAATACAACGCACAGCAAGAATAGTTCTGGTGTCAATTGTACACTAATCCTTAAAATTCTTAGCATCGCAATGTGAAGTATTTGAACCCAAAATTTTCAAAAGTTTGCCAGTTCTGGCAAAAATGGCCCTTTATGCTGCCCACATTTCCAATTTACATTTGAAGTACTTATACATTCTAGTTAATTTCCTGGCTTCGTGTATCAATACTACATCATTTTGCAAAACTTTTCTTTTAATTCATCAAACAATTTCAATTTCAGACCTTTCCTTTAGCTGCCCAGGATTACTTTCTATAAATGCATATACATATAAATCTTGTATAAATATACAAGTACCTAGACCAACATTAGTAATAACGAAGAATTTTTTTAAAAAGCATAATCTAAAAGTGCAATCAAGGTAATTTCATTTTAAGCTGTCCATCATGTAACAAAAAAGAAACAGGCTTTCTGAAATTAAATTGCTGGCTGGGGAATTCTGGAAGTTGAAGTCCACTCATTTTAAAATTGTCAGCATTCAGAAACCATGGTGAAGACTTCAGATTTCTTTTGGCCCTGTTATTTCCATTTCTACATGTCTGGAGACTTTCACTACCATTTACATTATGCAAGGAATGGAATGGAATGGAATGGAATGGAATGGAATGGAATAGAATAGAATAGAATAGAATAGAATAGAATAGAATAGAATAGAATAGAATAGAATAGAATAGAAAATAGGATAGGATAGGATAGGATAGGATATAGGATAGGATAGGATAGGATAGGATAGGATAGGATAGGATAGGATAGGATAAATGGAATAGGATAGAAAATGGAATAATAGAATAGAATAGAATAGAATAGAATAGAATAGAATAGAATAGAATAGAATAGAATAGAATAGAATAGAATAGAATAGAATAGAATAGAATAGAATTCTTTATTGGCCAAGTGTGATTGGGAACACAAGGAATTTAAGTCCAGGGCTTAAACTCTCAGTGTACATACAGTACAAACAGGAAAGGAAAGGAAAGGAAAGGAAAGGAAAGGAAGGAAAGGAAAGGAAAAGGAAAGGAAAGGAAAGGAAAGGAAAGGAAAGGAAAGGAAAGGAAAGGAAAAAAAGATGAAAACTATGATGGAACTTGTTCCTAAAACTCCCCCTGGTTTGCTTAGGGTCCCTGAGATGACCTGGTGGCATCTATCTTGAACCAATGGGAAGAAAAGCTCCTTGTTCATGTCAGGTTGAGGACAAAATGTTCCCTACAGCTTGGGTGACGTCCGAAAGGATGAAGACTGGCTGCAGTGCATAGCAATGTTATCATTGAGCTGACTCTACCATTAGGCAGAAAGAGAGATTCGTGAAAAGGTCATGGTTTCCTATAGAAGTGTGATTACTCTGTTGGATTAAGATGCTGTGGCTCTTGGGAGAGAGACCTCTGAAATCTAGAGTGGGTCTATTCTAACTTGAACTGATATTCAATCCATTAGTCTTATTCTGGAAAGATGGCAGAGAAGAATTTTGTTCCTAGGATGTCCCAAAGGTACTTTTCTAAAAGGCAACTGGCTTTTCTTGGTTTTTTTCCTTGAAAAGCTTTCACTTCTTCTCCAGGAAGCTTCTTCAATTCAGAACTGAAGAAGCTTCTTGGATGAGAAGTGAGACATTTTCAAGGAAAAAGCCAAGAGCATCCAACTGCTTTTTAGAAAAGAATATTTGGGACAACTATGGCCTGGATGATTGAGAATCTCCATTGATATTCCTAAAATGTCCAATCACCTATTTGACTATATGCACTTTGAATGTCGGGATAGTGATGATGGTAGCAGTGGACAGGTGTTTTCAAAAGATCAATTGACTGCAGAGGGATTTAGCTTTCAATGGCTTTCATATGCACAGTTAATAGAAATCACTAGGTAAAGGTAAAGGTTCCCCTGCTAGTCGTTCCTGACTCTAGGGTGCGGTGCTCAACTCCGTTTCAAAGCCGAAGAGCCAGCACTGTCCAAAGATGTCTCCGTGGTCATGTGGCCAGCATGGCTCAATGCCAAAGGCGCACGGAACGCTGTTACCTTCCCACCAAAGTTGGTCCCTATTTTTCTACTTGCATTTTTTTACGTGCTTTTGAACTGCTAGGTTGGCAGAAGCTGGGACAAGTAACAGGAGCTCACCCCATTACGCGGCGCTAGGGATTCGAACCGCTGAACTGCCGACCTTTTGACCAACAAGCTCAGCATCTTAGCCACTGAGCCACGTCCCTAGACAGGGTGGAAATCACTAGTAGAAATCACTATGCACAGCCAAAATGCCCTAATACTCTCATCCTGAATACCCATGTGCTAGGTCAACTCCCATCCTGGCCCATATACTTTCTTTGGTGTAAGTCAAGTTTTGCTAATTGTCACCACTTCCTTTTTCAAAGTCATCTATCATTTAAATTGGGAGCATGTAAGGTGGAGTAGGATGGGGAGGAAAGGGACCCCAAAGTCAAGACCCTGGCTCTGGTTGCATGGCCATGGCTGCCAACTTGACTTTTTTTTATCCCTTTCCTCCCCCACACCCTCTCCCCACCCAGCAATCCCTCTCAATGGGGCCAATTGCCAAGGGAGAGAGAGGTTCAAGAGGTAAATCAGATATTTTAAGACAGGGCCAGGTATAAATTCTCCATCTGTCCTCTTCAATGGTTGCTCAACTGAGATGCTTGATTGCTATTTTCATTTCTTTGCAAATCACCCCAAGCCTTGGGTTGAAGGGGGCGGTCTATAAATAATTCAATAAATACATTCAGTAAAACAATGGCTACCAACCTGCCTTCCATTGAGGACCTGTATACTGCACGAGTCAAAAAGCGGGCTGTGAAAATATTTACAGACCCATCGCATCCTGGACATAAACTGTTTCAACTCCTACCCTCAAAATGACGCTATAGAGCACTGCACACCAGAACAACTAGACACAAGGACAGCTTTTCCCCGAATGCCATCACTCTGCTAAACAAATAATTCCCTCAACACTGTCAAGCTAGTTACTAAATTTGCACTACTATTAATCTTCTCATCATTCCCATCACCCATCTCCTCCCACTTCTGACTGTATGACTGTAACTTTGTTGCTTGTATCCTTACAATTTATATTGATATTGTTTCCTGATTGCTTCTTTGTACCCTATGACTATCATTAAGTATTGTACCTTATGATTCTTGACGGATGTATCTTATCTTTTTATGTACACTGAGAGCCTATGCACCAAGACAAATTTCTTGTGTGTCCAATTACACTTGGCCAATAAATAAATAAATAAATTCTAATTCCATAAGTAAATAAACAAACAAATTTCTCCAAAAATAAGAAGACGTGAAACTTTTACCCCACCAGCCCAGGATCCCCAAAAGAGATGCTAAGAACAGGAGGCTATACACAGGATCCTAAGAAATATAAATAGTAAATGCCTTATAAGCAAAGTCACACAATTGGGGTGAATGGATTCATTTCTTATTAGTTAGGCTATCCATGGAGTTTTCCTAAAATGATAGATAGAAGATAGATAGATAGATAGATAGATAGATAGATAGATAGATAGATAGATAGATAGATGGATAGATAGATAGATAGATAGATAGATAGAATATCTGTATTGAACTATGGAGTTCTTGGTATTCTCCAAGCTCGTGAACCTTTCATTACCTAACTAGGTAACATCATCAGTACAACTTTAATTTAAATTTAATTTAAATTTATACCCCATAGATGGAACTGGCTTACCTCCATTTTTCAAACTTGGACTGGGGGACTCAAATTAAAGTTTCCCTTCAGGCATGAAGGTTTTCCAGGTGACCTTGGGGCAGTCATTCCACCTATTTCACAGGAAGGTAGTTCTGGGGAAAAATTAGAGGAATGAAGGCTGCTGACGATACTCCGAATTCCTGGATTACAGGTGGGAAATAGCTCATAGAAATCAAGAACTGCCGCTCAGAGCCCAACCTTGCTCTAAGGATGCCGAGTCAGCAGTTCATTCTAGGAGTTCATTCTAGGAGCGAATGTTCTCTTCCCCGTCTGAGGCTTTATTACGTTCATGAATTCTCAGTGCCCTAAAAACACCAGGGTTGCTAACCTGGGATCCTTGAACTTGGATGGGGAAAAAATTAACACGTCCATCTTGGCTAACCTCTAACTGAAGTTTAGCTGATCTCGTTACCGATTTAATGGGGTAATAAACATCCCTGTATTACATAATGGTTATTTTTTAAAAAAAAAAATTCTTTCATCGCTGGATTTGATCCTCCTTGCTTCCCCCTGTAATAATACACTGTCTATCCGCGTGTTTTATTTTATGCATTAAAAATTTTCTGAGAAGGGGTCACAGGTCTCACCAAGGTCTTGAAGGGGTCCAGAGGCACAAACCGATTAACAGCCTCTGCTGTGATGAGTGTCTTACAATGGAAAAGGACCCATTGACCCTTTACACCTTCCGACCTACATCCATAGTCCCCCCCCACCTCCTTTTATTTATTACGGTTTAGCCAAGCAAGAACCTTCTAAGTCACGAAGTCTCCTAATATGCATGAGAGAGGTAGGCACCTTGATGGATGTCAAGCCTTAACAACCTCGCTGGGCTTTGTGCTGTGTCGACGCTGAAAATAAAGCAGGAACAAGCCAACCTTTGCACACGATAGGGAACAAACAGCTGGTGGACAGCAGGAAAATTCTGTTTAGACCATCTCTCTGCGATGGTGATGGAGCGGTAAGGAAACATGCAGGTAGTTGTCTGTGTCATATAATATATGTGGGTAGATGCATAATTTTGTATTTATTTACTTTGTCATGGTTATGTGGTGTATATTGGAGGTGGAGACCCTTTGAGAGCTGAATGCAATGAAATGTTCTGACCTAGGCTTCCTTAGAAACTATACAGCACAAACTTAGTCCCAGCAAACCTCTTTAATTCATATGGCTGTGAATTATTGTCATTCCTAGTCCGAAAGACTTATCAAACAGTCTATCAGGGGAGTGTTTACAAACACCCACCTTATCTCCCTTGGAATGCTGCCAGAGAACTAATTGCCACATGCAGGGCAAGGCCAAACTTAGCACAGAGTCAACAGAGTTTTTCCAAAGCTTTTACCAACCAGATGAACTAATTGCTTCCTGCAAAAGCTCACGTCCCATTCACTTCTCTTTTATGTCTTATGGGAGGGGCCAATCCTCTCCAAGCCTTACTCCCAAGTCGACCCTGTTTACTTAATTGTTCCTCTCTTCTGGCAGCTCTGCGCATGCGCACACTAGGAACAGGCTCCCGCTGTTCTGACTCGCTGCTGTCAGACTCCGGAGGCTGCATATAAGTATCAGATGGCCTTGGCCCCCTTTCTGCCTCCGATGCAGAGCCCTCGTCCGAGCTTTTCCCAGCCCGCAGGACTGGCCCAAGTTCCTCCCCAACCTCCTCACTGTCCGACTCTGCTGCCAGCTCTGCAGGCTGCCGGCGGGCCACAACATGAAATTTCATTTTAATGTATGCCAATTAGTATACATTCAAAGTGACAATAAAGTTATTCTAAGTTCTAAGTTCTCGGTTTACGACCACAGTTGAGCCCAAAATTTCTGTCACTAAGTGAGACATTTAAGTGACTTTTGCCCCATTTTAATAACCTTTCTTGCCAGAGTTGTTAAATGAATTGCTGCGATTGTTAAGTTAGCAATGTAGTTGTTAAGTAAATTTGGTTTCCCTGTTGACTTTGCTTGTGGGAACGTCGTAAAAGGGGATCGCATGACCCCAGGACACTGCAACCGTCATAAATATGAACCAGTTGCCAAGCACCTGAATTTTGAACACATGACCATGGGGATGGTGCATCGGTCATAAATGTGAAAAACGGTCATAAGTCACTTTTTTCAGTGCCATTGTAACATTGAATGGTCATTAAATGAACTGTTATAAGTTGAGGATTACCTGTATGTAATTGTTTAATTTCATCTTTTACCGGGTTGAATTTTCCTTCATTCTTGTTTCTATTCTGTGTTCTCACTGTACTGGTAGTCCTTGACCTACAATTGTCCAGAATGGTCAGTAAATGAACTTTTGCGAGTTGAGGATTACCTGTACTAAGTTGATGCAACTGAACTGATTTGATTTGATTTGATGATTTTATTTTCAACTAGACAAGAGGGGCTGATCTAACTGGTCTCCAGATGGCTACGATGTTGGCAGTCTGCTGAACCTCCCAGCACCAGTGCAGTAGCACTGAAGGAACCAGAAATTTGCCAAATTTAGATCCCGCAGGAGTCATAGGACCCGGATTTTGAATGCATTCTGTAAATGAACACATTTGAAATCCTTTGGTTCAAAAATTGTTGCCCCATGATACATTGCTTTTCCCAGTTAAAGATGTGAGAATTTTAATAGTATATAGAATGATCACATAGATGGAGGAGTGAATCAGAGTTAGGGTTCTCAGTTCACCCTTTTATATATATACAAGTTTTTAAAATTTTAAGTTCCGGAGCTCACAAGATGTCTGCTTCTTTCTTTACTAATATACCTGGAAATCGTATTTTTAGAATAGTTTGTAATATGTATATGTATATGTATATGTATATGTATATGTATATGTATATGTAGATAGATAGATAGATAGATAGATAGATAGATAGATAGATAGATATAGATATAGATATAGATATAGATATAGATATAGATAGATAGATAGATAGATAGATAGATAGATAGATAGATAGATAGATAGATAGATAGATAGATAGATATATTTTCTCAGGTTTTCGCGGGTGTTTGTATGTAGGTCTTTGGTTATTCGGGTCTTCTCCCACGTAAAATTGGAAGTGTCTTGGCGACGTTTCGACGAAGTCTCATTCGTCATCTTCAGGCTGGTGTTCTCGGCTTCGTGCTTCCAGGAGCAATATGTGTGTGTGTGTGTGTGTGTGGTGTGTGTGTGTGTGTGTGTGTGTGTGTATGTATATGTATGTATATATATGTATGTATGTATTTTTTGGAGTATAAGACACTCCAGACTATAAGACGCACCTACCATTTTTGGTGAGGAAAAGAAGAAAAAGAAATCTGCCTCCCAGCAATTTTGCCTTGTTGCAGCAAAAAGCAAATAGCCTGCTTTACTTTCATTTTCGTTTTCAGCATAGCTTGATTAGCACAAGAAAAAAAATCTGCTCCCAGCAATTTACCTCCTTGCAGCAAGCATCAGAGGCCCGTGCAAAACACCTGAGAGCAAAACAGCAGAGAGTCGGGAAGCTGATCCAATCAACCTGTGCTAATTAGGCTGTGCTGAAGCTGAAAGGGGCTGTTTCTTCTTGCTGCTTGCTGCAAGGAGGTAAACTGCTGGGAGGCAGAGGCCAAAGGGTGGGGGCCAGTGGGTGGGCGGGGCTACATTCGGTATATAAGACAGACCTAAATTTTCACCCCCTTTTGGGGGGGGAAAGGTGCGTCTTAGTAATTAGGATTGTATTGTGGTTTACTGCAGGGTGAAATGATTGTGAGGCTTTGCTGGCTGTGGAATTCTGGGACTTGAAGTCTGCCAGGCTTAAAGTTGCCAAGGTTGGAGACCTCTGTTCTAAAAAGTAGGTCCTGGTGAAATGCACTGACTTTGACTTTGCTATTCATCTCAACAGTTGATGCTTTCAAATTGCTGAGCAGACTTATTCAGGGGCATCGTCAAACCTGTCTGTTTGGGTGGCGATAAAATCAGGGACTACATTTCTGCTACGTTTCTGTGGAAGGTGAAGCCAGGGTCTCCCAGGCAGGAAATGACAGGGGAACCTCTTCTGATGATACAAAAAAGCATCAGTTGGGGAGAGTTCCATGTGGAATGGATGGATGCAGTTGGTTGTCACAATGAAGGTGTTAAAGAAGGAGCAGCAGATCTAAGTTCTGATACCCTGTCAATCATGGAGGCTCCCTGGATCAATTTAGATCAGTTTCTTTCTTTCAGCCAAGGCCATCTCACAAGTTTGTCTCTGGATGAAATTAGCACATTGTTAGATTTATCTCACAGAGATGGAGCATGCTTACCTCTACATGTTGTTGTTGTTAGTTGTGAAGTCGTGTCTGACCCATCACAACCCCATGGACAACGTTCCTCCAGGCCTTCCTGTCCTCTACCATCCTCTGGAGTCCATTTAAGCTCACGCTGACTGCTTCAGTGACTCCATCCAGCCACCTCCTTCTCTGCCGTCCCCTTCTTCTTTTGCCCTCAATCGTTCCCAGCATCAAGCTATTCTCCAGTGAGTCCTTCCTTCTCATTAGGTGGCCAAAGTGTTTGAGTTTCATCTTCAGGACCTGGCCTTCTAAAGAGCAGTCAGGGTTGATCTCCTCTAGGACTGACCAGTTGGGTCACCTTGCAGTCGAAGGGACTCGCAGGAATCTTCTCCAGCACCAGAGTTCAAAGGCCTCAATTCTTTGGTGCTCAGCCGTCCTTATGGTCCAACTTTCACAGCCATCCATTGCAACTGGGAAAACCATCGCCTTGATTATACGCACTTTTGTTGTCAGGGTGATGTCTCTGCTTTTTAGTATGCTTACCTCTACAAATTGGATGCGTATTGGAGAAAGCTAAATTTTAATCCCCAGTCCTTTCACAACCACAGAAGCTCCCTGGGTGACTTTCGACCAGTCATTACCTCTCTCAGCCTCACTAACCTAGAAGTAGACTCCCACAATCTCCTGAATGTAGTACAGAACATAAATCTAATAAATGGCTTTTGTTGTTGTAGTAGTAGTTGGTTTGTGAAGAAGCTGTCATGGTCTCAGAGTTTAGAAAGAATGCCTCTTACTGTTTTTTTCTCAAACAACAACCAAAGGTTCTACATGATCGGTGTCTTGAACTTTCCTTAATAATAAAATGTACTTTTTGTTCTGCCAAAAGGGGAGCGGGGGGGAGGGGAGGGGAGGAAGAGGCGGAAAGAGAGGGAAAAGAAGAGAAGGAAAAGCAAGAGGGGAGAGGGGAGGAAAGGGGAGAGGAGAGGAGAAGAGGAGAAGAGGAGAAGAAGAGAAGAGAAGGAATGGTGAGAAGATTAATAGTAGTGCAGACTTAGTAAATAGTTTGACAGTGTTGAGGGAATTATTTCTTTAGCAGAGTGATGGCGTTCGGGAAAAAACTGTCCTTGTGTCTAGTTGTTCTGGTGTGCAGTGCTCTATAGCATCATTTTGAGGGTAGGAATTGAAACAGTTTATGTCCAGGATGCGAGGGGTCTGTAAATACTTTCACAGCCCTCTTCTTGACTCGTGCAGTTTTAGCTCACATTTGATGGATGGAGTCTGGCAGGGAACAAAATTTGTCAACACAGTAACTGGAGTTGACACCACTAAAGTTTATTATTTTAAAAAACATGCAAGGAAAGAAGATGGATACTGCTCTGTCTCCTTGTCTGAACTGCAAGGAAAGTAGAGAACGCCGGTTTGTTAAATCTGAGTATAGGTGACAACACAAAGCAAACTTTAGTGATCAGGAGAGGAATCACATTAGTTAATGTCACAAATGCTGGAAATTTATCGTCGTCTAGGTGTATTTGAAAACAATTCTCAGTCTTGAAGAGAATTGCCACACAGTATATTCGGAGACCGATGCTAGTTTAGATAAAGGGGTGTACCACACAGACACCTCTCATTGTTGTCAGATCACCACCTCATCCAAACTTTTACTGAGGCCAACAAGCAGGAATGCTGAATTATGCAACAGCTACCATGTTTCCCCGAAAATAAGACCCTGTCTTATATTTTTTTGAACCCTGAAATAAGCACTTGGCCTTATTGCCATGCACTCAAAAGCCCGAATGAGCTTATTATCAGGGAATGTCTTATTTTGGGGAAAACAGGGTAGAAGGCTGCACAAAGGTTGGGTTCATATAACTTCCTTAACATTAATTCTGAGCTAAGTAAGCACAAGGCTGCGTTCACCTAACAATCTGTGTCCAAACAAATAACTGATGGTGATTTATCATGATAGCCCAGTTCCCACAACCTGTTAAGTGAGTGACTTGAGTTCCCACAACACCCAGAATAATGAAGTACCCAACTCTACAATCATCGCAGAGGAGTAAAGATGTCATCTGGGAGAAAAATCTCCCAAGGTCATTCTCACATGCCATAATAGTAGATCAATAAAGAATACCTCTGGGACTTCTTGTGTCTGTTTTCCTGATTTAGCCTACCTCAAAGGGCTAACAATAACTGGCTCTAAATAAAATAAATGATAAGAATGCCTTTTGACATTTGAAATGGGGAGCAGATAGGTGCCTACAAACAGTGCCTCTTCCTTTGGGTACCTTCAGATTATGCCTGATCAATTATATCTTGGAGAACCAAAATGAATGGAATTCCTTGAACGAGGCATCTTTCCCAACTCATTTTTATTTTTCCCAATAATTATGGGTTGATGCAGTGGTGGAATTCAAATTTTTTTACTACCGGTTCTGTGGGCGTGGCTTGATGGGCGAGGTAGTGGCTTGGTGGGCGTGGCTTGGTGGGCGTGGCAGAGGAAGATACTGCAAAATCCCCATTCCCTCCCCACTCCAGGGGAAGGATATTGCAAAATCTTCATTCCCACCCCACTTTGGGGCCAGCCAGAGGTGATATTTGCCGGTTCTCTGAACTACTCAAAATTTCCGCTACCGGTTCTCCAGAACCTGTTCGTACCTGCTGGATTTCACCTCTGGGTTGATGCATGATTCACAACATATGTATTTGTTGGCCATCTGTATCTATCTGGACAACTAAATCTTCCTCTACTTGGCCTGGCTTGTAAGCTCTGAATCAATGGTCATCCATGAGTGCCTTCAGAGACAAAAAGGAACCATGTGTGCAGAGCAAAAAAAATAAAAATTGAAGGATTGTAGAAGTAGCATTGCACTGATTGCTGTTGAGCCAATTCCATCTCTTCAGCTTTTCAAGATCAATGAGCAAACATCTCACGCTCCCTTGTTCTTCCAGGGGAGCTATTTTGCTTTTCTATCACTCCACCTTTGTCTCCTTCCTTTTGATTTCCAAGCCAATACCCCTGTG